AGGCATTATTACCAGCAAATGAGTGTCGGGGGGTACACCTCGAGGAACCAGCTAAGGAACTTCACCTTAACAATACAAAATGATTCAAAATAATTATACAATAAGAAAAGGCATTTCAATTAGAGGGAGGAAATCACCTTGTTCTGGGTAACTTACTGTATTACCAACATAGGGAAGACAGTTTTTAATAAAACGATTTTATTAACAAAACACAATACTACTACAATACTACTAATATAAATACTACTATAGTGACTTATGTATAGCAGAATGTTCTCTGATATGTAATAGGTTGACGACCTGATGTCTAATTTAAACAATAATATAATAACAATTTGTTAAACATCTGATAAACTGATATGTTAAATCATAGGCAGTTAACAAGAACACACTTACAATATACACTAAAAAGCGGTTTGGTTAGCAATATTCACGTTCCATGCAGTCACGTCACTGGTGATGGCAAAAACTTCGAATTGAAAAGCTGGGCCTTGCTGCAGTGGAGAAGGAATCAGAAGTGTCAATGCTCATGCATGACCAGTCAATTACATGCCACAACTGGATGTCCTTGGGAGTTTTATGGTTGCTCTGGCCTGAATCTCAGGATGACAATGTATGAGGTTTGCTGGTAAGCAGAAAGATTATGGACCAGTGGAAATGTCTCTTCCCAATCTGATACTGAGCTTCGATCCAACAAATGTGTTGGAGCTTTTTGGAGTTAACTGGAGTTGGATCACTGTGAATGGGCCTTAAGTTGTCTGGCAGTTATCCTAGTACTTTTTTTCTGATTTCACTGGCCATTTGTTTAGGTTAGCACAAAAAATCCCGATATACTGTAGCAAACCATTCTCCACAATGGCAGTCAGAGACCCATAAAACTCATGCTGGTGACACATCTCATCCTGTAAAATACCTGCAAAAAAGCACAAGTGTTTAGATTCAATAATAAGCATTTAATATAGGGGAGTATGATTTTGGAAGCCCTGCTGAATTCATATGGTATTCTATTGATATGCTCAATGTAAAACTATAAGCACAAGGTCTTCAGGACACAGCTTTTCAGTGTTATCAGCATAAGGGCAGAGTAATTTATGGAGATTTAACAAAAATGCTGAAATTGTTCTGCTCCCTAACAAACACAATCCTGTTTCATAAGGAATATTACAATAGAGAAAATGTGCAGGCAGTAAAGTCCAATGACAAATTTGTCTGCATTCCTTTAATAATGATGTTCAGATTTAGGTGTTGGCTACCCTTATGAAACTAAACCATTGTTTTATTACAAAAAAATATATACTGTAGTGTAGTGTTTAAAAAAAAAACACTGTTTTGTTTTTACTGTAGTAAAAACACACAAACGTCCACAAATATTGTCCTTGTTTGTAAGTCGCTTTGGATAAAAGTGTCTGCTAAATGTCTAAATGTAAATGATAAAAGCACAGCTAGACAGTCCAAATTGTAAATCATACGAGTTTAGTTAAATACATGACCAAAGACAAATACACAAATAAATGCACGATCAAACACCAATACACAAATTACAATGTTTTACGCCGTCTAATGCCTGTCTGTTTTTCGCAACTGACGGCATCGATTGAGTCATGCGCGTGCACGCGAGGGGAGTCAGATTCTGGCAGGGAGTCAGAATTTGGCACAACACCGTTTGTCGACCCCAGAGGGTTAAATAGTAGCGCGACACTCATTTGCTGGTAAAAAATGCCTTAAAGGGTTAGTTCACCCAAAAATGAAAATTAGCCCATAAATTACTCACCCTCAAGTTATCCTAGGTGTATATGACTTTCTTCTTTCAGACGAATCCAGTCGGAGTTATATTAAAAATTGTCTTTGATCTTTCAAGCTGTTTAATGCCACTCAGCGGGTGTTGCATGCATCAGTCCAAAAGAAGTCAAATAAAAAGCGCCCATCCATAAAAAAAAGTGTCTCACACGACTCCGGGGGGTGAACAAAGGCCTCCTGAAGCAAATCAATGCGTTTTTGTGAGAAAAATTCAAAATATTCGAAACGTAATCACTTTAATGTAGCTTGCACCAACAGTTGTACACAGAAGCAGTTCTGGGCTTGCGCATGCGAGTCTCGTGAAAACCAACGTTTGTTAACAGGAGCAAAGGAAGCAAAGTTTCCTTACTTTAGCAAAGGAAAACCAGTCTCCTCTTGGCTTATATCGAAATCCTCCGACATTCTTCTTTACAAATCCTCGTTTTGTACTTCTAATAAGTGACCGGTGTTTTGAGCTCTCTCTCGCT